AATCTGATGTAGATACAGATGACGTATGTTCGATATCCTCTACTTCAACTGCATCATCTGTTGGTTTTATTACTAGATCACCTGTGGTTTCATCACCTGCCCCTGGATTATCAGAAGATACGGATGAAGAGGAGGTATTGTCCTTTTATGATAGACCCACCGTAAGTCAACAACCGTCTATACGACCCGCTGTTCCTACAAGAACCTCTTCTAGTTCAATAACGCAGCCTTATAAAGAAAAGACGAATATCGCTGAACCAGCTTTAGTCACCATGCATCAAACGGCCACTGATATTCATAAGGATAACGGTGGTAGTACTTCGACACCCACCTTGTTGAATAATCTTGCGAATTGGGCTGCTTCATATTTATGGCCAAACGAGAATAATAAAAGTAATCATAAACAGAGACCATCACCACAGCCCTCTTTGTCAGCGTCCATTATTCCAACTGTAGCTATCCCCATAGAAAGACATTATGCCCCTACCTCATCCAACTCATCCAGTTTATAAATTCCTCGGCACACACACACACACACACACTTACATTTCACATCTTTATTTTGTTTTGCTATATTATATCTTTATTTCCCTGCACGTACTTTTATTACAATTTATTTATAGACAATCACTCAAAATCTCTTGTATAATCCCTTACCTTGATTATGTAACAACACCATTTCTGTATAATAATAATTTTCTTTAAAAAAACCATCTTGTTCATCTACAGTCGAACACGAAAAAAAAAGTCGTCGTTCCCAGCTATATTTTCTTTCAGTTTTGTATGAGGATGGTTAAACTTCATATGCGTTTGGAGCATCTTGAGGAGGAGTACTATTCTATCTGCAGATTGTAACTGGGTGGGACCGAGGAGGGGCGGAAGAAACGTCAGATTATGATTAGCAACCTAAAATTTAATTTAAAAAAGTTTTAAGCATGGCCTTGCATTGATACTGATCAAAAGACATAATGGGATCCCCAACTTGTTGTTTTAGCAAGACCTGATTATTTCTAAATTGAAATTGATTCTTGTTTTCCCACATGGGAAATTAAGCTTTTCTCCCTCCATCTAATATTTACAGTAGTCAGTGACCCGATGCTGCTTACTAAAGCTAAACTATGCATGTGACAATATTTTTTGCCAAAAGCATCACATCACAATTACGAACACGATAAAGACATCTATGCCAGTGTTGGTCGATGAAGGAGGTTTTTTTTCAGTAACTGAAACCAGCGGTGTATTATTCAATTAGGTTTAGTAGGAATGTAGACTAGCGGACACGGGTGCATTGGATATCATGTGCATTAGATTGTGACAATTACGAAATAAAAAAGCTAAACATTCTTTTTTTTATAACCCCGATTAAAATGCGGGGGAATTTTGTTATCTCTCCACACAAGAAAAATGGTGCAACAGAAAAAAAAAAAGTGTGTTTTTTAATATATATTTTTTTTAATAAATGGGGGGGGGGGGAATACACACAGAAAATAATAATAATACAGTATTGTTTCTTTAAATATATCTATGCAGAAGAAAAAAAATTCGAGTTTTGCGGTGGAAGAAGAAAAGAGTTGGGAGTTTTGTAAGGGTGTGGGGATTGAAAGTGAAGGTTTTTTATAATACAAATACAAGAAAAAAAAAACTAGTGGGTGATTTTTTTACTTTGAAACAAGAGCAGTGATCTCACCGTCCTTGACCTTTCCTTGGAACACATCGAGCCATGACTTCACCTTTTCGTAAACCATGAATGTAACAGCTTGACCAGGTGCAACTCTCAATAATCTAGGTGTCAAACCCTTATAGAAAGCCTTAGGTCCTTCCTTGGTCATGATTTCAGATGTAACGACCTTAAATCTTTCCCATCCAGATCCAGGTGCGCTGGACTTTTGAATACGAGTCTTGATTGTATCAATAGGAGCATTGGATAAAGGACCTGTGATTAAATTCATACTCGTGAGAATCATGCATGTGAAAAATATGATATCCATAGTTACCCATTGCACCAGAGACACCACCAAGAATCAAATGTTGGTAAGAGGGAAGTTCTTCCAAGTTTTGGTACTTTTGAGCATACTTCTTAAACTCTTGATAAGCAGTGAAATTGGCAGCTTGGTTGGTGGCTATCACACATCAAAAAAAAAAAAAAAAAAAAAAAAATCAATATACATCCCTCAACCGTCTATTTCTCTCTAAATTACCTTGTCTCAATGCGGTCAAGGTAACGCCCTTGTACAAGGCGCGAACACCTTCCTCGCGGACAATGGTGTAAGCAGCATGAGGTGCGTTACGATACTTGGGAATATCCATAGGATCAGCCATGGAGTGACGTTGAGCCTGTTATTTCATATTAGTATCTCTCTAACTCTCTCTCTCCATGGATACCATTCTACGTTACCTGAAGACGAATTTTAATAAGATCCATAGGAGAAACAACCAAGACAGCCTCAGTAGTACCGGCAGCAAGACCAGCTACAATGAAAAGAAAATGGATTAATCAACCAGTCACAATAATACATGTATAAATCAAGCTTACCAAAGAACACTGAAAGAGTGCTGACTTTGCCATCAGCATCAGCCATCCACTCCTTGTATAATTCGAATGAAGAGAAACGAATAGCCATCTTGGGAACAATACCGGAAACAACAGCCCCGAGACCTTTGTACAAGGCCCAGAAGGATTCATTTCTGATGATCTTTGCACCAACACCCAAGAAACCAAGAGGCTTACCCTATTGACGGTCATGATTAAATAAAAGAACAGAATAAAAAAAGTGTTTAGGGTTTATACCTTTGCATTTCTGGCAGCATTTTTGGCCAACTGCATTCTCACTTTAATGGTATCAAGAGGATGGCAAGTACAGGCTTCCATGAAACCAGCAGCACCACCAGCAACAAGATGGGTGAGAAGGGGGGTCTTTTGTTTGCCGTTGTTGTTCTTGCTCATATTAAATTATTGGAATTTCGTGGAAATGTAAAAAAAAAAGGAGAAAAAAATTCGAAAAGAAGACGTAAAAAAGATAAAGGTTTTTATACTATAAAAATTGTAATTTTCATGTGCTTTCTGAACACCGCCCTTCAATCAGTTCCTTTGGGATCGCTCACCATCATTACAAAGATGGGATCCAATCAGATGCTCCATAAATGAAATCAAATGCGGGGTAAGAAGGAAATCATCGGAATTCTATCACATGTTCCCTCTGCCTTAAACATGTTTGTGCTACACACCTCTGATTTTTTTCTGAGTGACGTCTCTATATGCTGACCGTATACCGGACTAAACTATTACTCGCCTCCCAGCTCATTTTTCCGACCATCTCCGCGAACCTTTCGTGCTCTGTCTCTTTTTTTACCCCACTTTAACCCCACAAAAAAATCAAATAAGTGTAATTTTACTCACCAGCACATACTTATATCTTATGTAAAATATTAATTCTAGCCAAAACGTGATTTAGCAATAAAAGATTACAAACATAAATAAGAGTACCCTTATTTATGCTTATCAATTCCGTTTTTGTTGAGTAACTAAACCCCAAATTTTCAGGCCTGTAATTTATAGTTATCGTGGGAAGAATAATTGGACCACGACCAAGGCAAAACGTTTATACTTTTTTTTCTTTTGGTTTTATATTGAATTATATAATGCATTTATCAAGACATACACCACGCATTCGACAATGTCTTTTTTTTTTTTTTACCGTTAACTATTTTAAAACGTATGATGTTTCCTTCTGTAATACATTGCAAGGTAATACAATCAAAAAGTCTAGCTGGTCTGTCCAAAAGGAAGCATCCTAAGAACACAGTTGCTCAACTATGTTATAACCCAAAACCTGGCACTCAATGTAAGGGTTCCTTTTTTTTTTTGTAACTTTAAATTTTGTTTGGCACAGATCAGTAATACCTCCAACAAATATATATAAAACGGGTTTGTATCTGTTGTGTCTGTTCCTGTTTTTAGACTTGTACTCACCAACAACCCCAAATATACGGATTGTATTTCGGTGTTTCGTCGGAACCAAACAATTTCCCCTTATTGATTACAGCGGAAATAATTCATTCTGGAAATTATTTATACACCCACAAAAAAAAAATATGTAGTTTGCTCTCCTCCCGTCGATGTTTTAATATATTCCATTTATGGATTCTACCTTCTTGTATCCTCCAATAATCAAACCCAAGGAAAATAGGAAAATCAAAAAAAAAATACATTTGTTTAAAAAAATACAAATTGGGTTGTTCTCTTTTTTTGTTAATCAGATCAGTGAGCGAAAAAAAAACAGTTCTTTTTTGATTTATCAATAAAATCTAAAACTAACTAGCAAAAAGACGTCATTGCAAGTCTGCTTTTTTGGACTCAATTGGAATTCATAAAACTATCTCCGCTATAGCATCGCGTAAAGATAAACACACGGAAACCGCCTAATAAACTGTATGCAAGTCATTGTACATGTAATTCATAAAAAGAAAAGTTTAATGGCGATTATAAAAAAAAACCATGATTTAGTGCGACGGCCGGACCGAACAAAGTGCCATCCAATTAGAAATAGTGTATTGCTTAATAAGAGACCCTCACGAACAAGACTAAACCTGTACATAGACCTTAGTATACGGCTGAACAAAAACATGGGAGGAAAACAACAATGATGCAATATCACTGTTGATAAACAGTCTTTTACAGCCTAATTCTCATGTTACCGTTACTTTCCGGAATTTTTATACTTTTTTTTTTAATTTTCAATCATGGTTCAGGGCACTTCACAATGGAAAAGGCTAGTGGCGTTAAAAAAAGTTTAGATCCTAAAGATACGGGGTATGTTACACGCAAACATTTGTTTGTAGGATGTACCCTAGAAAAATAGAAAAAAAAAGAAGTTGTCAAAAAAATGATGAGGCTGTATGTCTAATTTATACAACTTCTCTTTTTTTTTTTGCAAATAGAGGGCATAATTAATTGCAAGCAATCAACCGGCATCAATCTATCATGATTTACAACACTTTTATTTTTTCGTCTCTTTTTAACATTACACTTCTATTTGAAAAGGCAAGTACCCAAAGCCATTTATTTCAAGAATACGCAGAAAAAATGAATTATTAAGGGCTTTCATATTCTGTAAGAAGAGAATTGATGGCAATAGATACATTAAAATGTTCGCATATAAACGGAGGTCTGACCCCATTATACAGTTCGTAATGCAATCTCGTCAAAATTTGAAAAACAGTTGTTCTTAACCTATAAAACTGAACCAAGATATATCAAAGACCAGCTGACAGAAAATCACCCGCGTTTTATACAGTAAGATACTTAAGCTCAAACTTACGTCTGTCAGATTGTAACAGAAGCGTGCTGGTTCATCTATCAAACCAAAGGATCAAAATAAAAAGATTATTAAGCTAGACAGTTTATCTAAACCCGCCTTATGAACCAAGACAAATGTTCGGCTTTAAATATTGGGCATGACAGGATTCTTCCTAGTTAAGTCTAAATGCTTGTGCCGCTAATTTGTTTGTATAATGCTCTTCTGGCCATGACTATTTTTCCCTTCATTCACTTGATCTATTGATGTTGCCCGTTTTTGATTCCCTAATAGTTTAATTACTTCCTTAAAACGAAACTTGCATATCTGCGTATTTTATAATTTTCTCTACATACAACAAAAGTTTTCTCTAGCAATAAATTAGCATAAAAAAAGGGGGGAGGTTTACATTTACTCGTTTCGATTTGACAGCAAAAGCGTTTGCTCACTGTCAAAAACTCTGGTGGTAGAGCTAAGTTTTAAAACATATGTCTTCCGAATACAAGGTGTAAGTTATTTAAGTTGTTTTGTGCATTTTTTTTCTTTTGCTTGCTTGATTAAATCATAATGTATTGGGAGATGGGATAATACTCCATGATTACCTTATGCAAGTGTCTCTGTAATGCTAACTTTTTTTAGTAGTCTAGTGACAAAAATTAAAACTCCTCAAAAAGAATCCGACAAATGGCATCATTGACAGTTCATATGTCAATACAGCCTTATTTGTTTTATGTGAAAGGTTTCAGCTGCTCCCTTCCCCCTTCATGCTTATCATTGTCCCAACAAACTTTTATTGTCTGTGTACTTGTGTGTTTGAATATTTACATTGAACAAACAAATACGGAAATAGTCTTTATTTAGTATTCTCTGGTTTTTGTTTTAATTAACCTTGATGACTTTACTCTCTTATTCCACACCTCGTTTATTGCGTTAAGTCAGATGGCCCCCATTTTGCCTCCACCCACTTCTCTTATTCGACCCGAATCCACAGGCAGTTATTTAAAAAAGAATGCGATATTACGAAAAATCTCCAAGAAGAAACTTTTACCAGTTTATGATTTAACAGCAAAACCATTACCACAATTAATCCAGGATGTCATGGACGCAATAGATGAAGAGGACGAGAATCTACGGAAAGAAGAGGAAGCGTATCTGAAAGAGTATGAATCATTAAGATTAAATAAACCACCAGCGACAGCACCTCCACATTTATCACCCTTGGATACCACACATCCACCACTCCCTCCACCAAAAGATATCCAAGACGAACATCAAAGTATTCCCGATAAAGACGCTCCCAGTTTGGCTGAAAAAGATTCCATCCGTACTGTAGAAGAGGAAATTATGCTCACATCATTACAAGAAGAAGCGGAAAGATTATCATTGGAAGAAGATTATCCGAATCGTACTATTATAGATCCTTCCGAGATTATCAATACCGAACTCCGAGATAAATTACATACGCCATCAAGCCAATGGTATTTTGACGAATATTCAGGTTTATATCGACAAAATGCTTCATTATCACATCAAAGTTTACCCGATTTTCAAAACATCAAAAGAACGAATTCTCTCGTTCAAAGTGATCCACCCAACGCCAGCGGCTTGAAAAGAACCAGTACCACCATGAAGGAGGACAGGCCTCACTCATTTGCATTGAAATTGAAATTTCCAGAATTGGACGATAATCAATCCGTTTGTTCGAGAAAAAGATCAATATTTACCACAAACGATGAAGAAGAAAATTGGCCTACGCCCACTTCGGTCGAACAAGTCCATTCCCTCAGAAAAAAGGCCAATTCCATGCGGGATCGTCGTAAAAACCTCGACCTCTGTCGCACATTAATGGACGCTGCCTGTCAAGGTGCTGAAACAGCCGCTCTCAGCAACGATTCTCCCGTCACCCGCACTCCATCCGTCAGCACACGCTATCGAAAGCAAGAACTACGAAAAAAGAAAAAACAAGACTTGGTTCTCGACGAAGTTTTGGTACTGGAGGCCCAAAAAATTCTAAAGAAGTTGGCCATTGGAGCCGTAGGACACAATACCGATGGTGATGCTCAATTTTTACTAGCCAACTGCTACGGTGTGGGTGGTTTGGGCCTAACCCTGAATAGAGAAAGAGCCTTTTCTCTTTACATTCATGCTTCCAAGCAAAATCATGTCGAGTCAACTTACCGCGCTGGTGTGTGTTATGAGATTGGTATCGGTACCACAAAAGATTATGCAAGAGCCATCGTCTATTACCGTAAAGCTGCCAATTTATCGCACGTCGAAAGTATGTACAAGATGGCCGTGATCTTATTACGTGGGTATTGTGGACAATTGATCAATACAAGAGAGGCAATTACATGGCTACAACGTGCAGCTGCACTGGCAAACTCGCAAAACCCTCACGCTCTTTATGTTTTAGCCATGTTTCAATTCACAGAGGAGTTCGCGGACGATCCAGCCATGATTTCCGATCCTTCTTATGCCCTTGAGTTACTACACCAATCTGCCCAATTAGACCATCTTCCGAGTCAAGTGAAATTAGGTGAATTGTACGAAACCGGTGGTGGTCCCGTCGAGCCGGATGATGCCATCTCAATTTATTGGTATACAAAAGCGGCTGAACGAGGCAACGCCGATGCAGCTTTAGCATTATCGAGTTGGTATCTAACTGGATCTGTTGGCATTCTTCCCCAGTCGGACCGCGAAGCGTATCTTTGGGCCATCAAGGCAGCTTCTTCGCAGCTGGCAGATCGTTGGACCATTGCAAAGGCGTATTTTTTGGTTGGTATGTATGTAGATAGAGGAATTGGGATCAGTCATACTTCCGCAGAGGATGCCAAGATTTGGTTCAAGCGATCGGCTGCTTTAGGACATAAGGGCGCAGTAGAAATGATTAGCAAGCAGGATGCATTATCTTGCCCAACTGTCAGTAAATGATTGATTGGGGGAAAACGAAATAAAAAAAAAAGAGATATATTTTGTGTTGTCTACTTGACAACTAAAAAGTTTAAATTAAGTGTGGAGGAGGAGGAGTATTGTTTTAAAAGAAAGAAAGTGGAATGTTTCTTTTTCTTTATGGACTTTTTTGTGGTATTCATTATGAGTGTGAGTTGAGAAATGGACCAGCATCATCAAAATGAAGTAAAGAGGTCTAGTATTGTAACGGTTCAATTGAATTAAACATGTTTCAGTGTAAAGCGATAGTTGCCCTGATACGCAATTTAGGTACATTTAACCACGAGTAAAGCGATGATTTATAATGGATAATTCCCGGGATGGATAAAAAAGTAAAGGAGGGGTGGGGGGATGTCAACAATGAAGCTTCTAATATGTATAGTCCATGATCCCTTAATTCTTGATATGGAGAATGGGTTGTCTAATAGTAGATCTCCTCACTCCTTTTACTATATGTTTATCATTCTTTAAAATAAATATAAACAAATAAAAAAAAATACTATTTTTTTCTTCAACTCTTTCTTTTACCCTTTCCTACCATTACATAATACTTGTTGTTATTATGCTTAAAAAAGAACAAAGAAGAAAAAATCATAATAATCCAAACTCATCACGTCTACCTATTCCTGCTCCTGCTCCTGCTACTCATGCTACACACCGTCGTCATATTACAACAGAGAGCGCTGTGACACCTACCAAATTGGATGATAACAAAAACAATAACAAGTCTAGATTATTTTCGACAACATGTTCACGTATGGCTCAAGAAGCCAAAAACTATAATAAGCGACCGATCATACAAAACAAGAACCTTTCTTCCTTTTATCTTTCCCCACAACAAAAAATGAATTTGAATAACAAAAGAACTATCCCAGTACCATCCAAAAAGCCCACTACTACTCCTACGACTCCTGTCGTCACACCAACACTCCGCAAGTCGCCACTTACTTTATTAAAACAAGATCTTGAAAAACTTCGACAAAAGGTAACATCAATGTTCAATTACCTCTTCTTTCTAATCATTCTCTTCTTTTTTTTTAATTCTCGCCCGACTTTAAATAGAAACTAGATGACGAAGCCTTGATCCAGAAGCAATCAAAAGAAATTGCGAGATTAAAAAAACAATTAACTCGCCAAGTAAAGACGGAGGCAGAAAAAGAGCTCGAGTTTCAGTTGCAAGAAAAATCGAGGCTAAATGAAAAGTTAGCATCTGTAACTGCGCAAGCAAAGGTATATATTTAAATATCTATAAAAAAAAAAGAAAGGGACTAATTAAAGTAGGATTGCATAAGTTTTAATCAAATGTTTTATATTTAGAGTCTTTCAATTGATGTTGTTGATTTACTAGAAGTAAAGAATTCAACCAGTACCCAAACAACCTATCAAGATGAAATCGATAAATTACAATCACAACTTGAGGTAAATATGGGACATATATAAAAAATCCTCAGGTTAACATCAACTAACACTTGATATACTAGATTCAAGACGACGCTTTTAAAAAGAAACTGGCAGAGCATGCATCACTTGCCAACGCATTAGATAAATCCATTCAACAAACCCAAGAAACGATGGACAAACTCAAGTCCGATCATGCCACCAAAATAGCTCAATTAAAAGCAATCCATTCCATCCAACTCAACAAACTTCAGGTAGAGCATGAGCAAAATATGATCAAGTCAAGACGAGAAGCAAATCGATCAAAACACACCTCCATCTCATCTGTACACGGATTGGAAGAAGTCCTTGAGCAAGCATTGTTAGAGTTTGAGCAAGAACAACATAATCATATCCCTGTCCTCATTCAACAGCAGGATAGTAACCAACGAAGCCTACAAGGTAAAGTCAGGTTGACAATGAAGAATCAACAATGGTATGCGAATAAGTACATGCCCATCGATGCAAAGTCTTGGCCTGCACCTCAACCATTATCAAACTTGAACAGAGTACAGCAGCCCACACGTTAATCTCCCCCTTCCATCACAAAAAAAAAACCCCCAAAAAAAATTATTATTATATACACATATACACTTATTTACAACATTATACATATTATACATCTATATATAAATATATCATTCATCATTTTACTATACAGTTCTAAATTTCCATTCTTTTTTTATTTTTTTATTTTGATATTTGTTCATCATCATAAAGTAAGCCCATGTTGCTGATTTACAATAACAACCTCTTCAGTTGGTTTAAAACTAGAGCGAATCGGATCTAATAATTCTTCTTCTTCCTCTTCATCTGATGATAAAGAACTTAATGAATTAGCAGGAATACTCCTTCGAGGTGGCAAAGGTGGTGGCGGCACCTGTTGCTGCTGTTGTTGTTGTTGCTGTGGTGGTGGTGGTGGTTCGTTATTAATAAACAAACTCATCATTTTTCGATTATGGGATTCTTGTAATTCTCGACTTCGTTCATCGCGCATCTCCTTGGTAACCTTGTTCGTATTCTTTTTGCTAAAGATACTTCCTGCCATATTATACAGAGCTGCTTTCTTGCTGCTCATCCTGATGCTGGATGTGGAGGAATTGATTTTGTTACTGATGGAGTTATTCGTCAGCTTGGATAAGATATGAATTCGATTGCTGGTGCCGTGTGACTTTATTGAACCACTAATTGAACTGACATCGTCTTCCTGACTGGTATATTGCGATGTCTCTTCAGTTAGACTCGATTCTTGTGTTGTTTCAATAGTCATACATTCCTTGGATACAGTTGTTGTCACCAATACCTCATTCGACATATCAGGAGGCGCCTCGCATACTAGCTCTTCATCAACGACAACGGCTTCTATTTCCTTCTCTTCTTCTTCTAGTTGCTGTTGTAGTGGTTGCTGTTTTCTACGGAAACCGATATTGGAAGAAATTCTACGACTAAATGATGGTGTAGCAACTACAGTTTCTTCTACCTTTGACTCCCTATCATCTTGCAATGGTTTAGACTCGTCTTCATTTTGATCTGAACGCACTATTCTGTCTGGATTTGAATACCCACGTGACCGAAATATGGACGATGTTGCAGCAGCAGACAACTGAGGTGAGTCCGAAGTGGATTTGGAACGACGATCAATGATGGGCGGATCTGCAAGCATGGAAGAATCCAAAACGCCAAGAGACTCCGCTCTCCGCGTAGGAGGTTTTGGCAAGGCTTGTTGAAGGACATCAAACGAATCTTGATGATTACTAATGATCACTTTAGGTAGTGTCTGATTCAGCTTGTTTCCTAGCATATCAAAGTTCATGGTAGGGGTTGCGTTCGTATTCGGTATAATGGGTGAAGTTGGCTCTTTAGGAGAACTAGGTTTAGGTACACGTTCGCCAAAAATACCACCTTTACCACCTGAAGGGCAAAAGGGAAAGTCGTCCATATTGGGAAGCACGATATTCTCCATCATGAATTCACGTATTTTGGACTGTATGGCGTTTGTTACCATGGATAAACGTATTTGTTTGTCAGATACGATGGGAGTGATTTCCCAATCCATGACGGGTATTTCATAAAAACCAATCCAGTAACGATTGGTAGGGGGTGGCTTCACCTTCATTAAGAATTTACCAGACAATTTTTTGAGGGAGACGGACAGGACCAGAGGCACCCTAATAGGCTTCATTAAGGATGAATAATTCCAATTAAAGTCTGTTTGTATCACAACTCGAAGGCCACCTGCATAATGAATGGTAGCTTCCGCCATCAGATCCCCTTCTGGAGTCAGGGAAAGAAGTTTAGGTTGTGTTACAAAAGGGATTGAATTGCCGATATCCACACTTTGCACTGAAATATCTCCCAGAAAACTTGGTCGCTTGATTTTCTGGATCTTTTTGGATATCTTTTCTTCAAAGTATTCACGCATCTCTTCCGTTTTGTACATGCCTAAAAATAGTCTTCCTAAAATAGCATTTAACCACTGTACCTCACGGTACTCGGCGTCTTGTTGTACGGTTGAAATCAACGTTTGCATGGCTGAAGCATCAAAGTGAGTGATGTCCATCATTTCTACGTGGTTGGGTGATTCAGTCATTATATCTGTAGCTGCCAATAACCCAAAGTACCAATCTTCCTTGTCCACAGGTCTTGCACACGTAATATAGAGCTCGTTGTTCGATGTTAGGTAAGGTGAAGAAGCATCAGCGCCTTCTAATAAAATCTCCATATTCTTCCCGCCGTCTTGCACCTCCGTTTTAGGCGTCAGTCTCAATGCTACTGACTTTCCATAGATATCGTGATCCTGATGTTTCTCGGGATGAATGGAAACGTTGTAGTTATGCACGGGTATGATGATTTTACAGTCTTCATTCGGTTGATCTGATTCGTATATGAAGAGTGCGCCGCACTTTAATTGCGCGTACACATGCTCCTTTTGACGTTTGGAGCCTTGTACATAGGATTGAATGCCTGACATGAGAACTGCTACATTGGATTCGCCCGATCCTTTAGGCTTATATCTTTTAGTTAACTGAATCCAGCCTTTTTTCCCTTGTTGAGAAGATGTATTCTTCCATTTCTCCTTCTCCTTGGGAGTACTTGGAACTGAGCAGGATGTAAAATAGACAACTGCCAGAATAATTGGCAGAAATGTTAATCCTCCAGTCAAGTAGATCAATATGATTTCTTTAATTTGAATCATGATTATTTTTAAAGAAAGAAAAAAGGGGGAAAGGAAACAAAAAGAGAGAGAGGAATGATAAATAGAAAAAAATTATTAAATTGTTGACCACTTAAAACAAAAATACACACACAAAAAAAAAAAAAAATAGGGGCTTAATCTTATAAAAGGTGCCTTAATCAAAACAACAACAACCCATAAATAAAGAAACAAGCGTCTCAAAAATAATAATGTAATGTTTGACTCCGCTAGCGCGCGCGGGTTTCCTCTCCTACAATAATAATAATAAAAAAAGGCGAGCATAAATCCCAGGGTTCATGGACACCTTCGTAATATAGACTGGTTGCTTTTTTTATTAATTTTAATTTATGCAGCTGCGTATCGTACTCTAATCCGCATGATGGGTTTTGCTCGTGTGGCTTAGAAAGTAACGTGTGCGACAATCTGTGTGTCTTTTTGCAAACAACATATTGATTATCCTGCTACAGTTGAAACAACGCCACTCTTCCCCAAACAGAGAATCAGCCTCTTGCATATCTTGTGTAAATGCTGAGAAGCCTACCTATGATCGTCCCAATAAATCCATATATGATTTTCAGTATATGATAGCTGATATACAGTTTAATATTTTATTTGATAGCTTAGTAGACACTCTTATGTCATAACAAGAGCCTTGTATAATTAAAAACCCAATGGTGAATCGAGTACAAGCTAATTAATTAAGTATGTTGTCTTTTGGGGATAAATGACCACGGGATAGCTGGATCAAATAGGGACATAGTTGTTATTAGCGAGTATTTTACATTCTGAAGCCCAAAGATGATGATTATGGGCAATGTATGTAAAGAAATAGCAGTAGGAGCGGAGTGGTGGGGGTGCGGTAGCGTCAAGCAGCGTCAACAAGAGTCATTTAAGAGGACTGCCTTTTCTCTCTTTTTTTTTTCACCTAAAACAAAAAAATGTGTGTCCCTTTGTTTTTCAATATCACAACAAATGTTCAAAAAGTAAAGAAAGAAAAAAAAATAAAAAAAAAAATTAGAACACTCTCACAAACATAGTGTGTGCTTTTAAAAGTAATAGTCTTCATGTCATATTAACTGTTATAAATGAAACAGATTCAGTTTTTCCGAAAACATTGCCGGTCAATCGCAACTAAAGTCTTCAGTTCAACGTAATATTCGTACCAAGTTGAATGAACAATATCCCACCATTGAGACCGTGTTGGAAGAATTGATTCCCAAAAAGACACCCATTATCCAAATCAAGGGGTAACTCACCATTTCCAGCTTTTAAAAAAGAAACACACCTTTATTAAAACACCCTTTTTTTTTTCTCTCTCTCTCTCTTATAGTCACGAACATATCACCTTCCTTTCCGTCAATGGCGAAATTCTCTTTTTCCAACACTTTGACGGACCTTTCTTCCCTACTCTCGCCTTGTTACATAAATGTAAAGTGGGAAAAAACAAATGAATAACTTATAGCCGTACTCAAACCTTCTAGCACAGATCCCGATATGCTCCCCAAGTTACAGGTGGATCGTGGAGCCATCAAATTTGTTTTATCAGGCGCAAACATCATGTGTCCTGGTTTAACATCCAAGGGCGCCCGTATGGACACAGATTTACCTGCTGGATCAGTTGTTGCTATTATGGCCGAAGGTAAAGAGAATGCTCTTGCTATTGGCTACCTCAAGATGAGCACACAAGATATGTAAGTTTTTTTTTTTATTATTATTATTATTATTTGCTTGCATTACAAAAAAAATATTTTTACTAAAACATTCTCTTTCTGTTTGACAATAGCAAATTGGTTAATAAGGGTATTGGTGTTGACAATATTCATTACTTGACCGATCCTCTTTGGAGAGAAGTTATTCACATGTAAACCACACTTTTTTATAACAAATAAAAATCATTGTTTTTAAACCTTTCAATTATGAATAGTACTAGAAATGAGGAACTTTTTTTTTTCTCTTATTCTTAGGAAATTAAAACACTCGACTCTTATATAACCAGACGATTTCTCCCTAACATTACTAATTTCCTTATTCTAACTTTAAAACTCGAATTATGAAATTCATTGCTATTACCGCCTGTCTCGCTGTCTGTGCTCACTTGGTCGCTGCCGGTAAGTTTACTACTTGTCATATTTTTTTTGTTTTTTGTTTTGTTTAGCATAAATTCCTAATAGAAATTCCCCCACATTCACATATTTTAGCTCCTGCCACCGCCGGTGCTGATGTAATGGCTCAAGAACAAGCTCTCGAGCTCGGCGCTCCTCAATCCTTTGTCCCTGCCAAGCACTCATCCAAGCACGATGATGATGACGATGATGATGATGATAAGAAGGACAAGAAGAAGAAGAAGCACCACGATGACGATGATGATGAGGAGGATGACAAGAAGGATAAGAAGAAGAAGAAGCACGATGATGATGATGATGATGATGAAGATAAGAAGGACAAGAAGAAGAAGCACGGTGACGATGATGATGAGGAAAAGAACGACGAGCTCGCTGAAAAGAAGAAGGCCAAAGCTGAAGAAGATGCTCTTTTAGCTGAAGAAGAAAAGGAGGCTGCTGAAAAGGAAAAGGAAGCTGAAGCTGAGGCCGCACAAAAGGAGAAGGATGCTGAAGCTGAGGCTGCTCAAAAGGAAAAGGATGCTGAGGCCGAAGCCGCTGACAAGGAAAAGGAATCCGCCGAGAAGGAGAAGCCCGCTGAAGAAGCTCCTGCTGCCGAAGATGCTCCTGCTGAGGAGGAGCCCGCTGCACCCACTGACGCTCCTGCTGAAGAGGCACCCGCCGCTCCTACTGATGCTCCCGCTGAAGAGGAACCCGCTGCACCTACTGATACACCCGCTGAAGAGGCACCCGCTGCACCCACTGACGCTCCTGCTGAAGATGCTCCAGCTGCACCCGCTGAAGATGCCCCCGCCGCACCCGCTGAAGATGCTCCAGCTGCACCCGCTGAAGATGCACCAGCTGCACCTGCTGAAGATGCTCCAGCTGCACCTGCTGAAGATGCTCCAGCTGCACCTGCTGCACCCACTGACGCTCCTGCTGAAGATGCTCCAGCTGCACCCGCTGAAGATGCCCCCGCCGCACCCGCTGAAGATGCTCCAGCTGCACCCGCTGAAGATGCACCAGCTGCACCTGCTGAAGATGCTCCAGCTGCACCTGCTGAAGATGCTCCAGCTGCACCTGCTGAAGATGCTCCAGCTGCACCCGCTGAAGATGCACCCGCCGCACCCGCTGAAGATGCCCCCGCCGCACCCGCTGAAGATGCACCCGCCACACCTGCTGAAGGTGCACCCGCTGCTGATGAAGAAACCCCCGCTGAAGGAACCCCAGCCGAAGAGACACCTGCCTCCGAGGACCCCAAGGCTGCTGAAGACGCTAAAAATTAAATAGACATAATATATTACAAACTCTTAGACTGGCAAATAATAAAAACTTTTTTTTTTAATTCCTATTATATATACAAATGATTATCAATTGGGGGGGGGGGGGAAGAAAAAGGGAGGGGTTGGGGGTATAAATAATTTTTTGTTTTAAGAGAGCCAAAGTTTCTAAAGTAACGGTTGTGTTTCACAGGTGGTGGTGGTGGTGGTAATAGGAGAGGAAAATATCACAAAGAAGAAAAAGTTATAAATGTTCATGAGGTAAGCTAATATGCGTGACCAAATAGATCTTTCTTCTGGTTGAACACCGGATTCTATATCACGATTGGCAAAGGTAGATAAAGTATTATCCACACATGGTGTATCGTTGTGGATAGATCCATAATGATTCCGATCTTCAAAATGATTGTTGCTTTTGTTTATAATGTCAGCTAATGACTGGTATGACATAACTGACGAAGATGATTTTTGACTTAAAAAGGAAGATGATCTAGTCACAGGTGAAATAGGTGGTTGCCTCTGTTCTTCATCATATAAATTCACTAGATCATAGGAAGACAACTCTTCCTCTCCTTCTTCTTCGTCGCTAGTAATACTACAACGTTGCTCATCGGAAGAAGAGTCGGTTGTATAGTCTTCCTCTTCTTCTTCTTGTTGTTGCGGCTGTAATATTAATAAATCATCGTTCTGTTGAATATGTATCGATAGATCTTCAAAATTATTTCGACTTTCATTCTCGATCCAAATATTTTCTTGGGTGTGATGATTATAAAATGACTTGTCGATACTTGTTTCAAAGGTAGGTCCATCCTCTTGCTGAGAGTATAAAAATACACCGGTTGCTCCATTGGAATCAGGACAGGGACTCAGATTATAATATTCTGCTTCTGTTGAACTCCAAATTTCTTCTTGCTGTTCACATTCTCCGTCTTCCTCTTCTTGTTGAATAAAAGGAGGTGTAAACATAAAGTCATCACCTGATAGTAGTACAGAGGGTCTAACAGGCGTAATGCCTAATAATGTTTGTTGTGATTTGCTATAAATACTATGTAAGTGCCAGTTCTCCAAAAATGAATAGGGAGCTGATCTACGTCTGGAGGCCGCATCCGGACAACTCTGTCTAGTAAATTTGTTGATCGTGGCATAGAACGCTCTGTTGGCAATATCAAAATTATTATTTACAGCTGAACCATGATATTCTGTAGGATATTCTTCCTCTTCTAATAGCAATTCAGGTGAATTTAGATGTTGACCAAGGAAATAGAAATCTTGGTCTTTCTCGGTAGTACGGAAATTTTTTTTTCTTCAGGTACAACTAATAGATATTCTTCTTCTTGCTGCTGCTGTTGTTGTTGTTGCACAGATAGCATTCTACCACATAAAAAAAAAAAAAAATTATGGTTAAGGGATGATTTATTTTGTTTTGTCGTTACACGTACATGATGTGGATTTAATTAAAAAACGAAATGTTTGAGAAAGAAAAAGAGGGAAAAAAAGAAAAGAAAAGGGGAAAATTATGGATCTATTAAATAGTAACACGGATAAAAAAAAAAAAAAAGCATGACACAGCTACTCGAACGAAAAAAAAAAAAAAAAAAAAAAAAAAAAAAAAAGACATTTGGGTAGCACACGCTTCTTGTTACCGAACAATAACACTACACCTTTTTTATATCCTTCTTGATCGACAATGGAAACAAACCTGCATTTTAATATAATTCATTTACACACACATCCCATAACAAACACAAATTATCTTCAAAATTTGACCCCATTCTTCATTCAAAGAGCAAAGTTTTGCTAACACAAAGCCACAGCATCTAACTTCATACACATGATTCAAAAGAGAGAACATGAAAATATTCATATAGTTATGAATACAATTAAAGCTCATCCGTCCTCCGTAACACGCCATTCTTTATACTATTTCTGTGTAATGCTTAACATCCTCGAGTCCAGTTAAGCTCTCTTTCTCTCTCTATCTATCTTTATAAACCCAACACAATTGTCAATTGTTCTTGGAATCGAAGGAATGCATGAGCAGTGAGAACGTCAATGTCAACTTGAATGTTGGGTTGAAAAACCACCAAGTTCATTTTCTTTATTTCCATGGTAACCAAAAAATCCTATCCTGGTCTCTAATGACAACGAATGCTTTATATATATAAAAAAACTCTGTTGAAAGACCTTTTAACAAGTACCTTTTTTCTTCTATGATACATCTTGAATAGGGAGGGGTTTGAATGTGAGCCGGGAAAAGTTCTGCAAAAGCAACAGAAAATTAGTGACACCACCTTTTTTTTTAAAAAAAAAAAAAAATTTATCTGGTTTAATGAACAATTAGGCTTTCCCCCTCGGGTTTGTAACTTTTTTTTATCAGGCAATACAATTTTCATCCTCATGTTTTATAAGAATTGTCTGGAACTCGTTATTGTAATAATGTGTTTTAAAAAAAAAATTGTTTTGTCCCCCTTCCCCTTCTTCTTATACACGACACTCTATCGCATACAGCTTTCAAATGACGTGCGATCGGACATGCAGCCATAATTCTTTTTTTTTTTTTTTTTTTTTTTTTTTTTTGACATGCAAAACTATAAATAGTTAAAATGCGATCCCCCAAAAAGTGTGATTTTTTGGGGGGGTAGCTTCCCATTAGTACATAATGTATTTAAGGTCATTTCATGGCTGATATCAAATAGATGTTATAATTTAAAAATGAAAGCCGAAAATATGCAATTTGTCACGGAGTGCAAAAAAAAAAAAAGCTCACATGAGATGTGTGGGCGTTTTTTTATTATTATTAACATTTGTATTCAAGTTTGTATCAGATGAAGCTAAATTTTGGGAAAGGGGGATGTTTATCCCCCGCATGAATAACTCTATTCATTATTCTTTTTTGAAGCTCTGTTGATAAATTATCTTCTTCCTTATCGTTATTAATTTTATTGTGTAAAAAGAATGCCACACATGTAAACCTTTCTTTCTTTCTTTTTTTTTACGGTATTTCAGGAACTTGTAACCCAGTACTTGTCATTTACGGTAAGAACTACAGTGATGGGTTCCGGAGATGATTCAAGTCCGATTGTACGTTAGCAATGAAATGTTATACCAAGCCCATATAGTAACAATGAAATAGGTTATATCTTTAATAAAAACCTTTTTTCTTTTATTGTAACCATAGCTAGCCTCGTCTTTTAAACCTTTTATTTCATTATTGTGGCAACTACCCGGCAACTAGATTGCTAAGGACAGTTGACTGAAGCTAATATATCTTCCCAGTGGTGGGAATACTCAAGTCGATTGGTTCAACTGATAGGCAATAAAAAAAAAATACTTTCTTCTCAATTTTCTCTCTCATCTTTTTACAATGTCCCAGATTTTACAGCTCCAATAATATGGGTTATGTTAATTAACTTCCCTTCCCTCTCTTTCTTTTGAAACATTGCCGAGAAAAAAAAAAGGCATAATAAGATTATATCCGACATTTAATGTGCATGAAAAAGGCACGCAGCAACTAGCATTGCCTTGCATCCCTCCCCTCCCCCCAACCCAAAAAAAAAATAACTTGATGTCAATACATTCTTTGCTTTGCCAATAATGCATATACTTAAAAAAAAAAAAAGCATGTGGGGTTGATTTCACATAAATTGGTAAATAGTATTTTTTTTTTTTTAATCATGTTAAATTGCTTGAGAGTGACACGCATTGGTAAGCTATCTTTTAAGAACACAAAGTGAATGCTTTTATAGAATTGTGTGTCACAGTCATAATGTCAAATGTAGGTTAAAGAAATACAGCACCAAAAAAATGAAAACAGGACGGAGTTGGGCGTGTAAATCGTAAAACATCCCTTGTTTTATAAAAAAAACATGCTTGACAAGTCACACTTCTTTTCTCTCTTACCCCACACAAAAACGAAAGAATAATAAAAAGCGATGCCTAGACCACTCACTATACTCGCTGGTTTAACATTGGCCACTGCACTTACTTACCAATCGCGTATTAACCTTATTACCAACACGGCTCTTGTTCAGGAGAAGCTTGACCAAGCCAAAGAAAAGAATGACTTGATCACCAATAAAGCCAATGAACAACTAGTTCGACTTTCTCTCAAACGTCCTGCAAGCTCCGTAGAGCAATTTTTAGATCATTCAAAATCCTACTATAAAGCACGACTTGTGCCTTCAGGTAAAAGAAAAAAAAAAAAAAAGGCCTTACCCCGTTTTTTCTAATACCCCCTTTCTAAAATTTTCATTTATGTCTTAGTCAAGGAAAGCTGGAATGCTCAGATCTGTAATGTCACTTCAGCCATCATTCAGTCCGATTTACCTACCACAGTGAGCAAATATATCGCTAGAAATGTATTTGGTATTAATGACAAGCAATAAATTCATTTTAAAAGACGCGTTCCCTTCGCATAAATGCATATATTTCTATTTTTGACCCGCCCTGTCTCTGTTCTGTCACTACAACATTCAAACTCCTAATCTCTGTTTTCCTTAGCTTTTAGTGACAGGGATCAAAGCTAATTGTTATATTTTACAAATGCTCCCGTTTGAGCTCAGTACAAAGCAGTAACTATATTCCTAGTTTCTTGTAAATATTTATCACTCATAGACTTTTAAACACGCAGTCTGACAAGAACCCTCTAATCGGATTTATCACGCATACACATTGCTTTTTGTACTGTATCAGACAAGTAGTCCAGCGACGTGAGCTGCATTAAGAACCCACATTATATAATTGTTTTTTTTTTACGAGATGTATATGAGAAAATTGATAAGAGGTTCGTCATGTTGTAGCAGTTTCTCAGAAGGTATACTTGGTGGCAGTCGTATACATGGTCCATAACGTAAGCTTCACATTGATCGCCTTTCATAATCAAGCCCACAAACAACAACACCAAAAATACTCTTTGATTTCTTTGCCAATTTTTACCAAGTCATCGAGATGCTATGTCTTGTTCGACTTTACTTCCAGCAAAAGAAGAAGATGACTCGACTTGGTCCTAACAACAGAAAAGTCAACACCGCTTTCCACAAATTGACCGGCTAAGATCGAGCTTGCTTAGTCGATTAAATATTGCCCGATTATCTGGTTAGCAACGATAGATTTAATTGATGGTGAGTTGGGAAAAGGACAGTTTGAGAAAGTGATCCATGGTATCCCGTCGGCTTCATTCTTTCTATTGGTGCTATAGATGGACGAGCTTTAAAAATTCTTGTTAGTTGGTCAAGTTGGTCTTGTTGTTGAGAGAGAGAGAGAGAGAGAGAGAGAAAGCAAAGGGGGGCTCTACTGTATCATTGTCAATATGAAAATCGGATATATGTCTCAGTTTAATACATTTAGACATGTGAACTTAAATAATTGCATAGATACATCTCTTTCTCGTGTGTAGTTTTATAATGCAAATCGCCCTTGTGTTTTCTTATGTACATACATTGATCAATAGCTGCTGGCAAACTATCAGTGAGGCTACTAATTTATGGTTTTTATACTTGATTAGATGTCCAATAAAAAAGTGATTTAATGATTCATAACGGCTTTAAACTTTATGATTAAGTCTTGACATTCATCTAGTTTTAATGACATGGCGGGTGATAAGAGTACTACGTTGGCAAGTGATGGTTTCACTTTATAAAAGCTTACTTATTACAGAATTTTGAATTATCATCTCTACATACCATACTATGGATGCCCCCTTCCCCCCTCTTTGAGGCTGCTAGAATGCTTAATCTGGATATTTACCTTTATATATATAAAAATAGCGTTCTATTCGTGTGGATAATCCACTTTTTTTTTTGAGTAGTGATAAGTATAAAATGAAGCAGAAACTATGTATGCTCTTTTCAACAAGTAAAACGATGTGTACAATAATAAAAAAGGCTTGTGTGACCATGGCTGGTGAAGAATGTGATACAAAATTAAATGATGCAAAAACTATAATGAATCAGGGGAGGAGGAGGATAATATTTCATTTTGAAAGAAATATGACATGTCTGTAAATGAAGATTTACATGCTTCAAGGTAGAAGGGGGGGGGGGTTGGGAGGGAGAAAGGCTTGCTAAAAGAAAAAAGAGTGAGTTAAAACGATCCAAAGTAGACATTACTCACATTAACAGACCAACTCCCCCGTGGCACACACACACACACTCTCGTAATAGAAAGCCATGATTGGGGATTGACTGTAAAGAAGAAATTTATTCAATGTGACAGATAAACCCTTGTAAGCTAAAATAAAGCAAGTCGGTCTGATATTAAAAAAAAAAGGCTGTACTCCCAAGTGGGAAAAAAAGAAAAAGATTCCATCCCCCCCATTCGTTTTTTTTTTCTTTTTTTTTTTTTTTAAACCACATAAAAAAAAAATTCATAAAAAAGAAGCAATTTTAAGGGTATTGTGTTGAAATATTTGACAAAAAAAAAAAAGAAAGACAGCAGCTAATAGTTCTTTTATATATATAAAAAAAGATCTTGCCTTTAATTTATTCACTTTTAATCGACTTTTGCTTCATCTGGCTCTTTAGGCTAATGACAAAGTCCATGCAGTTACCCGTCCACCCTCCAACACAACAACAACAACAACAACAAGACATGGATGTTCTTCATAACACGAATTGTACAGCCGCTGCGACTTCTTCAAAAAAGAAGAAGAAGCACAAGAAAAAGTCAAAAGGGACTAGCAACAGCAAAAGTGTTGCTGATTTTGCAGCCAAGACTCAAGCAGACATGGTGGATGCCATGATGAATCATCATGTGATACGTCATGGTGATCACAATGACATGCACCACAAGCATATCTCCAAGTCCTCAAGTAATAATAAAAACGGTAAAATGAAGGAAGAAGATAACTTTTGGTCTAGTACAAACAATACAGAAGAACGTCAGAAAATTCGAGAATTTTGGTTACAATTAGGCGAAGATGAAAGACGTTCGCTTGTCAAGGTCGAAAAGGAAGCCGTACTTCGTAAAATGAAGGAACAACAGAAACATAGTTGTAACTGTTCCGTATGTGGTAAAAAAAGGTAATAGTCATATAAAAATTTTCACCTTCTTTTTTCTCTTTCGTTCCCAAAATAAAAAGAAATAAGCACTCATCTTTATTTGTCCAAGTAGAACTGCCATTGAAGACGAATTAGAAGTTTTGTATGATGCTTATTATGAAGAATTGGAACAATACGCTAATCATCAACAACAAACTCGCGGTAGTGTTAATCCTTTACATGCAGGCTACCTTCCTACTGAAGTCATTTACGATCCCAATAACGAATCTACCGACCATTACGACGACGATGACGACGACGATGAAGACGAAGACGAAGACGACGAGGATGATGATTTAGACGAAGACGACGAAGAAGATGACGAGGATGATTTAGACGACGATGACGACGACGACGATGATGAAGACGACGACGACGATGAAGAGGATGAAGACGATGAGGAGGAGGATGATTTTGATGACGCAGATGATGAAGACGAAATCATCACTCGTCCTCCGATTGCTACTTATGCTGAAAGAAGTAGATATGAAGAAATGACTCATATACGTCATACACCTCTCTCGAGAGCATCTCCTAATGGTGATCATTTTAGTTTTGGAAATAGTCTGACTGTCAAAGGTATTTTTTTTTTCTCTTCTGCTTTGTCCTTTTCTTTTTATTATATGCTCATGCTTTTTCTTTTTCTTTTTTTTTGATAGGCGGCATATTAACAGTAGCCGATGATTTATTAAAGAACGACGGTAAAAAGTTTTTGGATATGATGGAGCGTCTTGCTGAACGTCGAATGCAAAAGGAAGATATCACTATCGATCAAAGCAACAGTTATTTTCAAGACGAAGAAGAAGATGACGACAATTTTGAAGACGACGAGGACGATGTAAATATAAGAAATACCCCCCCCCCTTCTCTTGTGTCTATCATCCACTGATTCCTTTTTTTATTATTAGGATACTCGTACTGAAGAACAACGAATGGAAGAAGGCCGTCGTATGTTTCAAATATTTGCTGCTCGTATGTTTGAGCAACGCGTCTTGGCTGCCTATCGAGAAAAGGTGGCTCAGGAACGTCAACAACGTCTCTTGGAAGAGCTTGAAGAAGAAGAACGTCTTCGCGAAGAAAAAGAGGCCAAGAAGCTTCTGGAACGAGAAAAGAAAAAGGATAAAAAGAGGTAATATGAGTATATAGCTGTGAAAAGAGTAGGAGGAACTCATCCCCCCCCCCTTTTTTTTTTTGGTGATTAGACAAATGAAGCAGCAACAAGAGGAAGAACGTCTTGCACGCGAGGCAAAGAAAAAGGCTGAAGAGGAAGCTGTCAAACGCGAAAAAGAGAAAAAACTCGCTTCAGAACGCCAAAAACGCGAACAAGAAAGATTACAAAGGGAGGAAGAAAAGAAACAACGGGAAGAAGAACGCTTGAAAAAAGAAGAAGAAAAAAAGCGTAGAATTAAGGAAGAGAAAGAACGCGCTGCTGAAAAGGAGAGAAAGCGTAAAGAAAAGGAGGAAAAGGATCGTATCGCCGCCGCTGCTGCTGCTGCTGCTGCTGCCGCCGCTGCCGCTGAAAAGGAGAAATTGCAAAAGCTAAAGGAAGCCAATGATAAAAAACATACAGAGAAAAAAACTTCTCCTGTTGTCGTTGCCCAGAAAGTCATTACATCCCCACCTGGTATCCCCACACGGGAGACCTTAACAGCAAATGATCCAGAAAACAATAATAGACAACAGGTGTTAATTGAAGCTTTAGTCGGTCCTAGACCCAGCTTTATTGAAACACCCAACAAATCTCCCATGCGACCACCTCCTCCTCAACAACAACCATTTATGCCATCTCATCTTAATATATTACAAAACGGACCTCCCACATCCTCTTTACTTTCTAATACATTTCCTCTTGATCATACGTCTTCTAGCTTACCTGATCCTTCCATGATGGGTCTCTTTCATCATCGTGTTGGTTCTCCTCTCGAATCCAGTACTTCCACACGTCAGTCTAGATCCATCGCTCCCATTGCCCCTATTGGACAGCCGTTAAATGGACGTCGTGTTTCCTCTGTACCACTTACCACCAACTCCACCAACTCCACCGCCACCACAGCTACTACAACCAACTCCACCGCCACCACAGCGACTACTACTACTGTGACTACGGCTGCAACTCCTGCTCCTGTAGGCAGCACACTTCAGGATATGCAAACGCCTTTTATGGATCCATTTTCGAAAAGACCTTCGGTTCATTCTCCATTTGATACAGAAGCAGGTCCACGGTCCTTCTTTTCCAGTTTCTTATTTGGTGAACCCACAAGGACAAACCCTCCTCCCATGATGATGCCTCCTCCGCCTGAATATGACATGCGGTTTGCTCAACAGCAACAACAACCTGACAGACGCTTTTCAACAGAAATGTCTTCTAATCATTGGACCAATGGATGGACAGCAAGTTCTGTACTTTCTGATAATGTGCACGGTAAACTGTTTGGTGGTGATGCTCTGGTAAAGTTTGTTACGATCATATATATATATATACTAGAGAGAGAGAGAGAGAGAGAGAAGCATATTAACATTTTTATATATATATGAATATAGCCGGACCGTACGATGATTACTTTGGAAAGAGTTAAAATTGCTTACCAAAAACTCAACGAGATTACGCAAACACGGATATTTAGAGGACCCACCAGTCAATACCATACACTTGTACAATTACATTGTATGATGAATGACTTATACTGTGATTTTCAAGTGGATATTCGAGAATTGTATGAAGTTTTAATAGGATCCCCTTTGAGTGGATTTCAATGCCTAAATCATGCTCAACATGGGATGGTTGTATTATATGAACCCATTGTAGTAGGAGGACTTGGAAATCCATCACTATCATCACAACCACTATCTACTACTTCTTCATTACATAACATGCAACAACAACATCATCATTCACCGCCTCATAATAACCCTTTCTCCTCGTCTAATCATCCACCTTCTTTACCTCCCCCTCATCCTTTGCAAGGAAATAACCCTACTTTATTTGGAAGTATGTCATGATAAAAAAAAAATAAACAAAATAAACACTGACAAAAAATATAAAAATGCTTGTTTTTTTAACGCATTGTTACACGGGGAACGGGATGAAATGCCAAAAAGAAAAAAAAAAGTTGTGTTCTATACTGTATGACCCGTCATATTATAGACTCCCTCGTGTTTCACTGGACTGAAAAAAAAACAGCATTTAAAATATAAATACAGCTCTTTATCCGGGATAACATCCCTTCCAATGTCAACGAGAAAGACCCTTTTTTTTTGTGTGTGTGTGTGTAAATAGAGTCATCTTTTTTATTGTGTTTGACATTGTTTACAAAAGAAGAAAATAATCCCAAGAAACAATATATGTTGTACGACGTTTAGATTTTAATTTTGTGAAATCCTATAAATTAAATCCTATTCACTCTCTCTCTCTCTCTCTTTTTCCTTTTCCTCCTCCTTCTTTTTTTTCCTTATAACTCATGTTTCTCATTCATAGAATATACCTCTTCATCCTCACATGTACACTCTTTTCCACACTCAATGCGTCCAAGGAGACACCACCTACCGTTGCACAACCCGACCTGATGAAAGAAGAATCTGATAATTACATTGTTATTTTTAAACCAAATGTACCAACCCTTCATATCAAGAACCAGATCCAAAAGATGAATTTACATCAGGTCAACCATACACTTGTCGACACGAAAAATCATACCTCCTTGACGACAGATTATAATTCCATTGGTCAATTCAAATGGTATTCTGCTCAATTTCATACAGAAGCCATTGAAAACCTTTTAAAAAAGAATACGACCGATGATATCGTTCATTATTGGGTGAAAGATGCCAAGTTTTCATTACAGGGATTTGTACAGACTAATCCTCCCAGCTGGGTAAACATGTTTTTACAAAACTTTTTTTTTTCTTTTGCTGGGCTTAACCCTCTCTTTTTTTTTTTTTTTTTTTTTTTTACTATCTGTCAGGGTTTAGACAGAATTGATCAACGCACAGGTACCGATGGCAATTACAAATTTCCAACTGCTTCGGTAAGAACTTTTTTTTAAAGTGAGAAATGAGAGTGATTTTTTTTTTTTTTTTTTTTTAATAATAAAAGTTGTAAAATTCATAGGGTCATGGTGTGACAGTGTATTTAATGGATTCAGGCATCAATGAAAACCATATTGACATTGCAGGCAGAGTCAAGATTGGTAAAACCGTTGTAGGTGACCCGAATGACGCTTCGGATATCAATGGCCATGGTACCTTTGTTGCCGGTGTCTGCTGTGGAACCAAATACGGTGTTGCAAAAAGTGCGGAGATCGTGTCTGTGAAAACATTGGACACGGATGGAAATGGAAGACTCTCTGATGTACTTGTCGGACTCGAATGGATTGTTGAACAACATCGAAAGGATCCTAATGCAAAGTCCATTGTCAAGTAAGAAAGAAAAAAATACAGATACAGATAGAGATTTATATACACACTATTTTTGTAAACTGACATATTCTTTGATATAGTTTGTCTCTGGGAGCACTGTATAGTCAGGCTACCAATGATGCCATTGCACAAGCCATGAGTTTAGGTATCCATTTTGCAGTGGCAGCTGGAAATTATGGTGAGGATGCTTGTCTTTACAGTCCTGGTAGTACACCTGGAGCCATTACCGTAGGAGCCATCGATGAAGATGATTCAGTTTCATACTATTCTAATTTTGGCAAGTGTGTCGACATGTAAGACAATTCCATGTATCCCTTGTGTATACGCACATGTTTTGATTGATTTATATATATATCTACAAAAAAAAATAGTTTTGCTCCAGGTACAAACATCAAATCCATTTGGCCCACCTCTAATTCCGCCACACGTACATTATCAGGCACTTCCATGGCCGCACCTCGTACGTTAATATATATATATATGTGTGTGTGTGTGAGAAATAAAACTAAACAAGTTAATATAGACGTTGCGGGAACCATGGCACTTATGCTTTCACAAAACGACTTTTCACCTGCAGAACTTGCCAGTCATTTAAAAAAAGTGTCGAGTTTGATCACGGAGAATTTTACGATTAATAACACGGGTAGTTTTTACAATGAAAACAAGACGGTGATTGATAATGCGATTGATACAGGATATAAAGTCAAGGGCCGACAAAATCAAAAGACCTTGGTCAATATTTTGTACAATTATCCAACGGATGGTAAAGAGAATTGGATTTATGGTCAAGCACTCAGTCAAGCTAGCGAGAAATACCCCTTTGTTGCATTTATTAGTGCAATCCCATTCATTGCATTCATTTTCTTTTTCCTTTAAAAAAAAAGAATACACACATTTAGACTATATCCCCCCCCCCATACACACACATTTGGACGAACTAAAAAAAAAAAAGTTTCAATGGAACAAGTCGTACAAAGCAAAAAAAAAAAAATCTGTAATTCGTCATCATCCTTTTGTACAGTGCGTCCACTCTCATTTTAAGACGCATTTTTTTATATGAATATGTTTATTAATAGAGACGCCTCAATCTCACTTCTTTATTAATACATCTATTCCAAAAAGGTTTTTAGGATGTCGGATCTAGCCTTGACAGTCGCTAACAGAGACTTTCTTGCAGGCTGATGCAATACACCGTCTTATCCAGCGGATTTCTTTTAAATATCACTTTTGACTTTGGGGCCCAATTCTTTTTTTATAGGGTTAAAAAAGGCGAGTACGGCGGCATGAATAGTAACCCCCCCCCCTTTTTTTTTTTATATAGCTTCTACTACCAATGTAGAGCGATGGATTCTGCAATTATCTAAAGCAATAAAAAAAATTTCTTGTCATGCCTGTCTAGCACATCCATGACAGCCTCAACAAACTTGGCAATAGGATAGGCATTAGTTCTTAAGGGGTTTGACATTGGATATATCCGTAGATTTTTTTTTTTTTTTTTTAAAAGTAGATTAATTTATTGAACATTAAAACTATAAACTTTAATACTGGTTTGCTAATCATCATCATCAACTGGTTTTTTTTTATAGTGTGCTCTTTTTAAACTTGCTGGGGAGGTATAAACGGTGAAGAATCCATCTCTCTTTCCGACTTCATAACATTCTTTCCAATTCATTGGTTTTGATGATCTTTTAAACTGAATAACATAATCCATGTCACTTTTTGGAATGTCTAGCTCAGGTAAAATTGCATCGTTGTTGTTATTAGCCTCAAATTCATGGATAAGATTTAATCCTGCTTCAGGTAAATCCAACGGCGCTGGCATAGGTGACGTGCAAGACAAGTCCTTCTTACTATACTTTCGTTTGCAAGTGTCTGTATAAAGACATCCATCTTCAGCATAAGACAATGCACGCTTCTGAAGTAAACCTTCGGGCATAGCAGATATTACTTCCTTTAACTTTGTAAATTGCTTGTTTGTTTGATTGCACACATCCGAGCATTAATTCACCACCAAGAGTCACCACCTCCGAGCATTGATTCACCACCAAGAGTCACCACCTCCGAGCATTGATTCACCACCAAGAGTCACCACCTCCGAGCATTGGAGCACCACCAAGAATCACCGCCCCCGACTGGTTCTTCTGCTTTTTCTTTTTCAGCTTGTTCCTTGGCAATTTTATACAACATTTGTAAAGTTGTATCGTCTTTATACTCAATGGACATCAACGAGGCTTTTTGAAAGCATAAAAAAATACCAATGGCCAGCAAAGGCAGAAGAGGAAGTTCCTTGTTATCTTCACCGATGGTATCACAATCTATGATCAAGCATTTTTCTGCCCAATGGTCACATACGAGTTGTTTGGCAAAATTATGCTGCGTGGCGTTAAACTTCGATTTGATGTTATTGCAGGTTTTGCCAATGCCAAATACGAGGATGGATGGCTTTATTTTATACTCCTTCTCCACGTGTAAAGCGTAACCAACCAAACGGTCAACAAAATGATGATTTATATCACGCTGAATCTCCACAAGTACAGGAGGTAGATCAACTGAAGCAATGGCGGGTGCATATAGAACATCGGATTGGGAGCCGTCTAGCCATTCTGTTGGACGTGGAGTGTAGAAGTGGAGGGCCCCACGTGCTATATAAAGGGAAATGTCTAGACCTCCGTATTTTTTTTTCAAATGTATTTTTCTTTTATACCAACTTACAGTAATTCTGGCTAAGACCAGAAGGCCAGTATAAATAAAACTATTTACAGTGCATTCACAGCCATTCACAGCCCCAGAGTTTCCAAAAAAAAAACTCAAGAAACCTGCTATAGGAGGTCGCCCTCCTGTAGCAAAGACTAGCCGCAGCAATGTATCTTTTTTTTTCGATTTTAGCGTCTTTTGAAAGAAACAGAAGTGTCATTACTAACTCACCTTTGTACATTATCAGTTACTTTCATTCGATAGAGAAATGTTAAAGGAAAAGAAAAGGGCAGGAAAGAATAAAGTGTGTGAACCAGCTTTTATTTTAGGGCTGATAAACAAGAGCTTATGTCAGAATGATTTAATTGCTTGTTTCATCATCCATCATGTTTGGGCCTTTACTTAAAATAGAAACATATGCAAACAACTCCCCCAAGCAAAATCAAAACTTGGTAGTTGTATATCTGCGTTCCAGTAGTAGATTGTAATGACAGTGAAGCAGATGTTATGGAAAACAGTAATCGATCATCCTATGAAGTTTAGACGATGTGGCATGTCAATCGACGTGTGATTCTAAAAAATACGTTTGAAAAAAAAAAAAAAAAAAAAACGGAGTTCTAGACATTTCCATATAAAGCTCAAGTAAGGATCTTTATTTTATTTTATTTTTTGAGCTCAACTGAGGGAAGAAAGATACACTTACAAATCAATGTTGTTGTTATGATAGTTATAACTTCTTGGTCGCGTAGGATTAATTTTGACATTAAATCAGAACCAGGTAGTTTTTTGGGGGGAGCGTGAATAGTAACAGGTTTGGATCTAGACAAAAAGCAATTAGACAGACAAAAAAAAAAGACTGAAATAAGTGAAAGAAGCACAATAGATTGCCATCGTGAAGGAAACGAAAAAGCGGCACCGGTGCCCACCTAAGAAAGACTTTTAGAGGTGCCCACCTACAAACTATAACTAGTCACAGGTGCCCATTTTTCTTTCTGGGCACCGGTGCCCACCTATGAAAGGCTTTTAGAGGTGCCCACTTAAGAACTATAACTAGTCACAGGTGCCAATTTTTCTTTCTGGGCACCGGTGCCCACCTATGAAAGGCTTTTAGAGGTGCCCACCTAAGTTTGAAATACAACAGGGTACAATAATTCAATTTTAATTGATTCGTACAAAAAGTATACTTCCACTGTCGAAATCATGGATGAAAAAAAAAAAGCGTGTTGTCAGGGAAGCTTCAGCAATGATCAGGGGGTTTGTTTGGGGGAATACCCAGTTCCATCACTGATGTTGACAGTCCACCCCAATTCACAGACGGTGATCCTGCTTGTACTATAGAGCTGTTCATGTTATTTTTTAACAACATGTCTGTTGAATTCAAAGCACGAATCGGAGGGTTGAAAGACAACGTGAGTCGCATTCAACACTGCTCTGAAACCCACGAACACAATTACATCAGTGATACACGTTTCGCAGATCTTTTGGACATGGATGACTTGATGCGAGACTTTTTATTAGAGACGCAAGAGTATAACTCGGAGGAGGAGCAAGAAAAAGAATTTTGTTCCGTTCTTTTACATCATTTAGTTGTCAGAGAGAAGAAATTCCCCCTGCACATACGAAACTGATTGTAAAGGAACGGTAAGCGCAACAAACGAGATAATTGACTCTCACACACCTCCCTTTCTTTTTATTACCGATCCCACCAATTTTCGTAAGACGCCATGAATCATTTTCAAGCAACAACGCAAACGCCAACATAAACCGCTCTCACATTTATATTTTCCAGAAAATATATCATTAACTCAAAACTCTCAATACCAATTACACGAGCAGAGTTTACTCTACCTCTTCAACAGGAGAGCATTTCTTTACAGTCTGTTACAAAATCATCGATGGCATTAATTTTCTCGTTCGTATTGACAATCTCGACAAGCAAATCAAAATCATCACGTCAGACATGAACAAAGCCCGACAAATCATTAAAAGATGCCGTGGCACAGTTTATGCCTGTTACAAAAAAAATCTTATAGACATTTTCTTTCTTTCTTTTCTTTTAAAATATATATTATAATTAATAAACATTTAGACAAATTCACTTTACATTAAATTCATGCATCTGTGCGATATATGTCTGAGTGATCGTTTTTTCCTATAAATTTCGGTTAAATTAAATCCCGCAAAATTACAACAACATTTTTCCCCCACCCTCCCATAGCATTGGACGTACAGGAGGGGTGCTTACGAAGAGCATCACTCAACACAGTTCTACAATTGAAAAGCATACGGGAGATGGTAGGCTGTAACCACCATTGAAGCCAGTGACGCACGTTGGGGGAACTCCCCGGATCATTGACTAGGGCCGTCTCAATGAATACTTCTTCTACGGTTGTCTTCAGCAATTTGTAAGTCAAACGACATAAATTGGGTTGACTTCTCGGGCAGATAAAAGTGAGTGATTGGATACAATACGTTGTGCAGATTGCTTTCCAATGCATGTAACAGCCCTTCAACAAGCGCGTAGGTAAAATACCTGAATTGGGGTGAAGCAAGACTTGAAGGCCTAATAAAATCCTTCGCGCTGGGCTTGGGAAAAAGTCCATAATCATTCCCAAAAAAAAAAAAAAAAAATTGTCAGCTTTGATTACGAATTTCTCGAATAAAGCTTTTAAAGTAAATTTCAAATTGTTCAGCGTCAAGCTTCTTGATGATAGCCTGGAAAATGACTCTTTTTCATCTCAGGCACAAAGATAACTGTTGAGCAGAGATAGAAACCCTTTGGAACCGCCCTTAAATGTTACATCCCGTAATCATCGGATAGTTCTCGAATGGCAAAATTTAGCCATTGCCATTTCGGGACAAGAGAAAATGATACCAATTTCTGCTGAAATGATATATTTCAAGGAATTCATCTTTCGATCTTAACGAAATCCTCTAAACAAAATCTGTTTCCTTTGACGAGAGCCAAGCCATTTCTAATTTTGGCTGCTCAGAGTTCGTGCTTTGTTCTCTCTCTCTCTCTGTTAAGGAAGCTATATCCGACATCCTAAATCTTTTTTGGAATAGATGTAT